GGCCACCTGGGGGCGGGGCGGACCGAGCCGCGTCCCCGCCCCGCTGCCGGCTCAGCCCGAGCCAGGGCGGCGGAGAGGGAGAGCGCGGTGCGCCGCTCTTCTGGAGAGGAGAGGAATCTCAAGTATCTTCAGAGACTTGGATCCCATTTTCACCGTGAGAAGGACGGAAACAGGCACGAAGCGAGGCTCCCTCCGTGGGGACACGAGGAAGCAAGGTCCCAAAGTGGGGACGTTTTAATTTTATCTTAGCAAAGAAAGCTCACGCCTCAGGAAGTGGCGCGAGGGTTATGAACTGTCTTCAAGGGACAGTCGCTGTGACAGATGCGAAAAGGCAGCCTGGGTCGTGGGGGGAGTGACAGTGATATTTGCATTGTCGTAAAGTGGAGTTGACCTGCGAAAGTGATTTTTATGAATATTTTACCCTGAATAAAACACACGGGAAGAATGCTAAACTGGTAGGATTCGAGTTCGGCCCTGGCTAACGAGCTGATTCAGAGCGGGAAATGACCTTTACTGAGTCTAGATAGGAAACTTCCGGGCAAGAAAGTAGAAGCCAGGTCTAGGGTACCAGACTCCGCGCTTCCCGCCTCCGAGAGGTGGTTAGTCCTCCTCAGAGTGCAGTCTTCTTGTTCTCCGCATTTCCCCCTCCGGTGCTGATGCTTTTCGTTTCCGCGTCCAAACGTCCTGCATTTCTGCTGTCGCCCGGCTGGCCGAACGCTCGCCCTCTCTGGGTGGGGCCTCATCTCCGGTGGGCTTGTGCAGCCTTCGGAGATGGTTCCGGACATTTCTTACGAGTGTAAAGTTTTGGAGCACTTGAGGATGCATTTGTAAATATGCACTTAGCCTATTTTAAAAACAGCTAGAACTTTCAAATCAAACGAATTAAAAGAGGACCCGAGGAAGTCCAATTTAATAATGACAGTCAGGCCTAAGTCAAGTGACACCACCAAGGAAGATATTTACTGCGCGTGAATGGTGAAAGCAAGTAAGGAGAGGAAAGCCGAGTGGAGTGGAGAAAGCCCTTCGCCGCCCTGTGCCGAGGGCGTCGCATTGCGGGAGAGGTGAGCCCAGGGGTAAACTAGCCTCCCATCATGAGCAGCCCACGAGGCAGCTGAGGAATCCCGAGCTCCTCAGAACTCGGGAGCCTGAGTCGCTTCCTGACTGGTGAGCACACCTTCTTGAAGAATGACACTGGCGCGTACTTACGCGCTGAAAAGACACAGTAAGGACGAGCGGCAGGTAGGCAAACCAAGTTCCACGACCTAACAGGTCCATCCCCAGGCGGGCACCGCGTGGTTGGGGTGGGAGGCAGAGTTAGAAACACCATTTGACGTCATTTTCTCACCCACGTGTTGTTTGAAGTCTCAGGATGCAGCAGAGCTACTGTACGTGAAGCCTTCCAGCTCCAGGCGGGTGTAGGTCCTCGACACCGGCTGTTCTTGCGGCGAGAGTCTGGTTGTGCAGAGCCCCGACTGCGGGTGGGAAAGAATGGCGGAGACCGGGGAGGACCCTGAGAGCTGGAGTCCGTTGGCACACCTTCCGAGGGGCCAGGAGCAGCCCTTAGGTTCCGCAGCGCTGCAGCAGTTGTGGTAAGGACAGGGGTGGAGAAAATGAAAGGAAGAGACTGACTGACCTGAGAGTCACTGAGATTGAAAATCTGGAGTCAGATTCAATGTGAAAGTTTGACGGGGAAAAGAAACCTAAGTCTGAGTTTTTTGTTTGGTTTTTTTTTTTGGTTTATTTTCTCCGGTACTGGGAACCAAACTCACAACCTTGCGCTTGCCAGGCAGGCGCTTTTGCCGCTGAGCTAAATCCCCAGCTCCTAAGTCTGACTTTTCATGCTGTCAAAAGCAGTGGAAATGCAATGGCTGCACATGCGCAAAGCAGGAAGAGGCAGGGACAGGGCATTATAAAAATTACCTGTGAGACACTGAGAACTTTCCTCCGCAGGCGCTCGGAGCAGAGGGAGATTTGGTAGGAGCGCGTGGAAGGAACAGCATGAGACGCACAAGGCCCCGAGGGCAGGAAGCCAGCCGGGAAGCCTCAGTCTCTCCTCTGAAAACTGTGCCCTGCAAGTCCTCTCTCAGAGGTGCTTTTCGACGGCTACATTATGTCGAAGACAGGAATGATACAACCATATTTAAAAAATACCAGGAGTGAGAATGCGTCCCTGAGACAGGGCTCCAGGACAATGTGCAGATAAAAATTGTCAGCCTCTCCCGCGTCTGACCCATGCCACACAACTCAGTCTGAAGTCCAAGAACAAACCAGATAAAACACTGAAGGTCAGTGTATCTTTACCTCCCACTCTGAGTTCACAAACGCAAGGGAGCTCAAAAGCAGTGTTCAGAGGTTCTTTTTCCTGCCCTTAGAGTACTCACAATTCAGTTGAGGAGAAAAAAATACAAATATATATATATA